TCACAACTAATTTCAGCCCCAGCTAACCAGCATCAATTGTCCCAGTGAAGCAGGCTTCATTTCCGTGGTTCTTGGTCTCTTATTAATCACAGCTGATTCTTCAGCCTGAGCTGACAAGCCACAGATTCTCAATTCAAAATATCACATAAATAGCACATAACAGTCTCTGCTCCCCTTGAAACATCACAAGCCAGGCCTCCACCATCCTCATTTCTCTTCAGCATAACTATTCCAAGCTCTACAGCATCAGCTCACTAAGCTCTGAGCATTCAATGGCTTCACCAAAATTCCAAATGTTTCCATAATCCTCCCCAAAACAACATGGTCAGGTCTGTTACAACAGTATCCCATGATCCTGGTACCAACATTTTGTCCTAGTTACTCTCTATTGCTGTGATAAAAACACTGACCGAAACCAACTTGGGGAGGAAATGGTTTATTTGGTTTACAGTTCACAGTTCATCATCAAGGGAAGCCATGGCAGAAACTCAGGGCAGGAACCTGGAGCACAAACCATGGAGGAATGCTGCTTACTGGTTTGCTCCTCTGGCTGGTGCTGTTTCCTTTCTTATCCAACACAGGACCACCTGCCCAGGGGTGGCACTGTCCACAATGGGTTGAGCCCTCCCACATCACTCAACAATCGAGAAGATGTCCCACAGACATGGCCACAGGCCTGTCCGATGGAGGAAATTCCTCAGTTGAGGTTTCCTCTACCCAGGTGTGTCAAGTTGACAGTAAAGCTACCCAGCACAGGTTGGAGTCCTGCTACGAGACTCATCTCCCCACTGCTGACCTTTAGAAAATGCAGATGACATGAATATTCCAGTGTTTACTTAGAAACAGTAGTTAAGGTCTGGTGAGATGGCTCAGTGAGTGAAGTTTTGCCACCAACCCTGATGAGCCGAGTTTGATGCCAGAATCCCACAAGGTACATTTAGAGAACCAACTTCCTCAAGTTGTCCTCTGACCTCCACATGCATGTCATAGCATGCACATACCCCCCCGCCCCAATTAATGTAGAAAAAAAAAATCACTAACAAAAATTTACTCGCTGTCTCCTATGTGGGGAGCATTTGGAGACAAAGTGGTCTGAGCTCTGGGATATGCAGGAGAAAGCTGATAGCTTATCTGTGATCTGTACAATGCCTAGTTCCAAGGTCTGAAATATTAAACAAGGGAGAAAGTGGGGCAAAACTGAACTTGAATCCCAAGTACTTGTTCTCAGGGGCATGACTTTTTCTCTAAATATCTTGGTTTCTCATACCCTCAGTTTCCTTAACAGAACAGGAGACAATAACTGTTTCTTACCTCCTTAGCTTAGGACTGTTGTAGAAATCAGAAATGACTGTGAGTTCATCCTCTAAATCACAGTAACTACAAGTTATTATTCAAATACTCAGCTGGACTTTATAAATAGTCCCTTGGATGAAATAGTTCATATCCTTCACATATAATTAATTATTGTATTTGATGTTTGGCAGTAAACCTCAAAGTACTGCCATACAATTTTCCACTGATTTTTTTTAAGGGGTTCAGTAAAGTGATCCCCACCTCCCTTTAGACATGGTCGCATGTCTTCTAGGATGGTTTTGAACCCACTATGTGGCCAAAAATGACAATAAACTCCTACCTCCACCTCCCAATAGCCAATATTCCAGGTGTGCACCCCCTACCTTGTTTAGGCGGTGCTAGGGATGGGACCCAGAGCTTTGTACATGCTAGGCAAGCACTCTACCAACCGAGCTAGAGTAAGCCCTTTACAACCATAGCCAAGAAAGCAAGGGAAACCTTCAGATACTCCACTCTGGGGGTGATCACTGTCAATCAGAATTTCTGAAATACTCAGTGCTCAAAACAATGAGCTCCATCCACACCCACTAAATGCTGGCTATGGCTCTCAATCTGCCATCTTCTCACATGAAGTCTCCGTGGCTGACCAATGCTTCCTCTCCTGTAGCATAGCTGCCTCTCCGTTCTTCAGATCTCTGGGCATAACCTTTTTTTCCTGGGGACTTCCCCAGTTTATCAGTTCTGATTTTGCACCTTGAGACTCCCCTTTATGACACTGAACCCTTGCCTACACTTCCCCAGTACGTTATAGACACGTTTCTGTGACAATTCCACAGCACGACTAGACGTCCTGCAGGCAGAAGGCATGTCATAAATGTCAATGATTAAGCAGAGAACCATGGGTGGTTGTGTGGTTGGGAGGGCCCTTAAATCTCAGCTGGACGTGGTGGCTCATGCCTTTAATCCCAGTTCTTGGGAGGCAGAGGCAAGTGGATCTCTGTGAGTTCCAGACCAGCTACACTACAGGGAGACCCTGTCTCAAAGAGACAAAAAAAACAAAAACAAAAACAAAAAAACCCCAAACCAGGCTGGCCTCAGTCTCAGAGATCTGCCTGCCTTTGTATGAGCCACCGTACCCAGCACTTTCAAGTTTTAATAACTAAAAAAGTTAAAATATAAGGGAAAATAGGAGTATTGGAACTTAGTTCACTACCTAATTTTAGTTGCATTTTAAGTTCATCTTACAATATTTATTTTTATGTGGTGACAAGCATTTTGCTGACAGCCAGGGAAAGGCACACTAAATTCCCTGTGCTGTCGGTACATCACCTTTTGAGGGGAAACCAGGCAGAAGGGTAAGCAAACACTACTCTCCACAGAGACAGTGCAGTGTGAGGATCCCTGAGGTGCCCTGAGACATCTCTGGTGGTTTAAGTGAGAACTCCTGTTCACTCAGCTGGTGCTGCTATTTGGAGACCTTATGGAACCTTTAGGGGCCTTGTTGGAGGGCGGGCTTTAAGGGTTTATAGTCTCACCCTACTTCCTGTTCTCTCTGCTTCTTATGTGGATGAAAATGTGATCGCCAGCTTCCTGCTGTGTTGCTGTGCCACATCTTCCCTACCATGATGGACTCCAGCCCTCTTCACTGTAAGCCCAAATAAACCCTTTTCTCCTCTCAGCTGGTTTTGGTCATGGTATTGTATCACAGGAACATTAAAGTAACTAATACATCTTTCAAGAACCCACAAAGCCAGTCCCACGTTTCCCAGCCACCTACCTCTGAGATGGAGCTTTTCAGCACACAGAAACTTATTGAACACAGGGCTGGAGGCAGACCTGGCTGTACTCTACTTACTATACCAGGCACGGGAGTCATTTGCAAAGCATGAAACTGCCCATCTCAGATTTTTATTTTGGAAGATGCAGCTTGTAAAATTGCAATTGATGTTAAAATGCATTGAGTTTATTATAAAACCAACGACTATTTCTTGTTTTTTGTAGCCCCAGCTGGCCTGGAACCTGCAATGTAGATCCAACTGGCCTTGATCTCACAGAGATCAGCCTGTCTCTGTCTTTCAAATGCTGGGATTACAGGCATGGGCCTGACACCAACAACAATTTTCAAAGCTTCTCCACCTTTACATGGGCTCCAGGGATAGAACTTGGGTTGTCAGGTTGAGTGGCAAGCACTTCACTGGCTGAAGTGCTTCATTTCACCATTTTGTATTTATTACATTTATTTCCTTGTGTGTGCATGCATGTAGGTGAGCATGCCACAGTGAACTTGTGGATGTGAGGACAGTTTGTGGGACTTGGTTCTCTACTTAAACCATGTGGGTTGTGAGGAGCTAGTCAGTCAGGCTTGGCAGCAAGTGTCTGCCTTTACTGAGCCATCTCACCAGACCCTAATTTTATGGGTATTTTCAGTCTTTTTGAGACAGGGTCTCCCTGTAGTCCCAACTGGTCGGGAATTCACTATGTAAACCAGGCTGGCCTTGAACTCAGAGATCTGCCTGTCTTTGCCTCCCCAAGTGCTGTCATTAAAGGCCATGCCTGGCTATTTTATGGTCCTTGAGGGTATCAGACAAGTGGAAATAAATCTAGAGAAGTAAAAACTGGCCTACAGTGTCTATAGATTCACCAGGTATCCACTATTAGATCAGTAACTTTGCATTTACACTATTTACAGGAAAAAAAGATATAGAAATGCTGATGAAAAAGGGCGTAGGACAGGAAAAGGGAGCCTGAAACTATTTTCTTGTCAATTCCAAATGATTTGGGGGTCTATATGGTTGCACTTGAAGTTATCAGTAACCCTTTCAGAGACAAATTTTTATACTAAATAGGCCACTGTGGGGTGTGGTGGTTCCCACCTGTAATCCCAGCACTCAGGAGGTTAAAATGTTTGAGGTCAGTCTGGCTATGTATGAAGACCTGGTCTCAAGAAATAAAACAAACTGTACAGGCCCTCAGCTAAGGAGCTCTTGGCTTTTCTCTGTTGTGGGTTTTGAAACAAACAAAAAAACCACTGTGAAGCTGGCATGCTGTACACTGAGCTTCAGTAAGGAAGGGGTCCCCTTGTGTCCTCAGTGTTATAATATACAGGAAGGTGGGGGCTGGAAAACGTGTTTAGGTAAATCTTATTAGGAAAAAAAGTGTTCAGGTATAAATGTTTGCTTCCTCTAAGAACCATATATATTTAAGAGAGTTGAAGACATACTTCTCAATTTAAAAAAATGATTTAAAATTATAGGGTTCAAGTGTAAGTGAAGACAGCCTACCCTGCTGCCAGCCCAGTGCAGGCCAGCTAGATGGCTCTGCAGTAACAACACTTGAAAGCTCCTATTCTTTGAAACTAATTTAAACACATGGAATTGTTGAAAGATTAAAAACCGCAGTCAGCTAATTACACTCCCTCTCATCTCTTATTCAGGAAATGAATCACTTTTCATTTCCACTTAGCTGAAGTACATGAATTTCTGCCTAATTAGAAATGTTGTAGATGGAACATTAGCAGGAGTGGGGCAGGTCAGGGTATCTCTGCTGCTCCATCTTTAATTCCTTATAGTGGGGCCTGATAGGAAAGAAGGGAGAAGTCATTAAATAATTTTAAATTATTTATAAAAATTACTTTGCCCAAATTATAATTATTTTTTCCCCAAATGGTCTCAAATGTCTAACGGAATGAGAGAAAAAGCAGTTCCAGGTTGATTTTAATGAACGTTTTAATGTTATATATAACAGAACATTATGACTACAATGGAAACAAAGTTTTCTCAATTTAATAAAAAAATTTTCAACATAAAGTGGAGAGGTAATAACTTGATACCTATATTATAGTATTTATTTTAAAAAATATTCCCAGCTTAAGGGTAAAGCATTTAATTTTGCATTCCAAACTCTAGCATCATGATTTTCATGTGAGCTTAATGCAGAATCACAGCAGGAAAACAAAAACATTTTAATTAATTTCCTTTATTTGTCATTAAATCAATAAAATCTTTGACTGCTACAGGTCTCCTTTAATAATATATATTGAACTTCTCTATTGGAACCATATTGCTAATGGCTGTATTATGTACACTCAAAACCAAACAAAACAACACTGTATAAAATCTAAATGTGAACATTGCTGAGTCCTAACATTTATATTTAACTTAAGGTTTTAATGTATTTTTACCGTTTCAACTTTTTGAAAAGACACCAAAAAGATAAAAATAAATATTCTTCTCTCTTGACTGTCTCCGGCTCGGACGATGGCTACAAGGGCACACTCGGAAGGGAGCCTTGCCGTGTGAATCACGGCCAAGTGAAGGGCATGGTGAGCCGAACGAACAGAAACCGCTAGTTTTTCTTCTTTTAAAGGAAACCACAGAGCAGTCCTGAAAAAAATACTTTTCTGAGTTCCGCGCAGGATAATTCTAGCAGAAGACAGGGGAGGTCCTGCAGTGCTTGGCAACTGCTGGGAGAGGCTGTGTCATCATAAAAATTTGGATGGTACATTAGCAGTGTTGCTGGAACATTAGCAAAAGTATATACATTCCAGTTACCTTTGATTAGCCATTATCACATATGTATGTGGTTTTTTTTTTTTTTGGACAAAAATATATATTTTTATAAAAAACTGATCATCCAACTTTAATGATTTCATATATGGACTCGAGAGTGTTAGTAAAAGGAACGGACCCAATTATGACAAGGTGATTCAGGGACGGAAAAATCAAGTTCCTCAGGAAAAGAAAAGTATAAAATTAGAGATTCAAGCACATTTATTCAGCCCCAGGCCAGTCTTGCCACAAACGATGCTGTTAAACGGGCTCTCCAACCAGAAAGGCTTTCAGTGGTCTCGCCGGCCCATTTGTGGTGTATCTTCATGGGGCAAATGGTCCTGACTGCCTTGTCGGAAGAGCTCGCGCGGCCTTCTCAAACACTGGACACCTCACTTCAATAACAGCATTTTTTGGTTCTTTAGGTGGGTTTATTTTAATTAACTGATAAAAGGGAAACTGATTAGCATTTTCCATCCCAACATCACCTATTTGCACTGCTAAAAATTCTTCGTTCCATCTGCTGCTTTACAATCTCTTACTTGCTAAAGTTGGCAAAGTTTGCAAAGGCATCTTGCTTGGGTTGCACAGTTCCAGAAGGCATGGCCATGTTGGGCATGCCCATTCCCATGGTGCCTGTCAAGCCCATGCCTGTGGAGGACATTCCCATGTTCATGTTCATGCCCAGCATGCTCTGGCTCATCATTGCAGTGTTACCCAAGGGGGGCATTCCCATGGTGCCTGTTATCACACTGGGCATATTCACAGGCATGGGTCCCCCCATCAGAGGATTAGTTTGTGGCCGGGCAGGAAGCATGTTTGATGGAGAGCTGAGGTTCACAGCTCCAAAGCTCTGCGTCATCACATTCAGAGGCTGCTGCATATCTGCAGGAAGGGAGGAGAGAGAGGAGCTTTACAAGGTGAATCCCTAAGATATGCCCACCAGCCAGTTTCCTTATAGTCAGTGTTTCTAACCCCAATATGATTCCTGGACAATGACTGCTAAGAGAAATCAATTCATTTGCCTTGGCTACTCGCCACAAATGCACAGGGAATATGGCCTGTTTCCCTGAGATGCAGAAACAGCAGCAGTGGGAGAACAAGACCCCACACGTTCCTACAAAATCCACTGCTGAATCCTACAGAATAAACTGTCAAACACCTGTGTCTATCTAAAACCTTAAGAAAGTTTGTATCTTTTGACTAAGAACATTATATTAAGGAAAAAAAGCAGACGTTCAAAATGCATACAAAATTCTAGTTATAGTAGAAAACGTAAAGACAATTTCAATGATCTGGAGGAGCGTACTGATAAAAAGCTAATTCTAAAAATCAGTTTTCCTAATGTTCATCACAGAAAAAGTCATCATAACTGGGTGTTATTGAGTAAGAACTGGAGAAAAAGTATAGATGAACTCATTCTACATGTCACTTACAGTACACGGAAAAAGACGGAAGCAATTGCCCTGGACTATGGAATTCAGATGAGTTTTGTTTCTTCATCATTGTTTGTAAAATAACAAATGTACAGCAATCAAAAAACTTTTGAAGTGCTGTCACCACTGAGCTACATCCCAGCACATGGCTTTCTAACAATCTCATCATATAGCTCAGGCTGCCTTTGAACTCATAAGCCTCCTAAGTGCTGGGACTATAGGCCTGTACCACTTCGCCCAACCACAAATACTTTTCTTTCAGTGATCAGGCCCCTAACACTGAGAGATGCTATCATATAGTGAGAGCAGAATACGAAATCAGCCAGAGTCGGCTAAAGGGCAGCAAGTGAACACTATGTAGAAAGAGACCTTGGGTAAGTACCCATTAACCTTCACCACCCTGTAGCCTATGTCATGTATTTTTATTTTAATGCTTGAAGCAGTCCTGGAATCAGGGCAAGGTTTGAGGCATGCAAAGAAGTGGGGTGTGCTAAGGGAACTTACTCTGTTGTTGAATCATTGTATTGAGCGATGGCTGCTGGGGTTTGGAAGGCTGCATACCAGGTAGTAAGTTGTCTAGACTGATGTTTACACTGGGGTCAGACCAAGTGGAGGGCAGGGTTTTGCTGACTGACTTCTGGACCATATCTGTATTCTGATTATAGAGAGGATTAGGCTTCTGCAGCACTGTGCTAACATTTTGCAAAGGCTGGAAAATAAAAACATGCTCTAGAAATTAAGCATCTGTTCCATACAGATTATCAGGTAACAATTTTAACAACAATGAATTCCTAAGACAGAAAATAACCACAACTATCCTATACTAATGTCTTCAATGTCCTGAATTGTTTTTCTCTTGTAACCCAGCATCTAATAGCTTTTTTTCCCCCTAAGAAAGAAAACAGTTTATTGAGTATACATCAAAGGACAGGAGGCTGGGCAGTAACCAGAGTACCATCTGCCAGGTTAGTACAATTTAAGGAAACACAGATGGAAATTTATTCTTATAAAAAACAGAATTCAGGTATGTCTGTTCATGTTATAAAGGCCAAACAGTAAGCATCAAGTTACACCTCACACATCAGCTGGCGTTACCCACTCTGCAAAGCTCTGCCGCCTACAGTGAGTGGAATGATACCAGTGGAACTTGATTATGCACAAGACCAACTTAGGAGGAAGGAGAAACTCAGAAGAAAGAAGCAGAGGCACCTGGTGGTTACTAAGGATGATGATGAGAGAGGAACAAAAAGGAGAGGACTGGGAGCAGCAGAAGGAAAGTCTACCAGTGCAGAGTGAGAGCGAGGGCTGGCTGGGCTCCTTGGAAACCACAGCAGAGCCAGCTTGTCACACATAGCAGTCACCTTTCTGCTTCTTTCTTCTCATCCTTCATCCTAATATCCAAAAGAGGAGTCTACACATTACAAATGAGTGACTAGCACTGGAAACAAATATTCTTAGTAACTTGTGTCAAAGCTGGCAAGTTTGTGGTACAACCCAGACACACATTTTCCAACTGTGTTTGTTCAAATTCTAGACTAGCATTATGCAATTTGGACTTAAAACTATTAAAAAGTGAATCTAAAATACCCCATTGTCTTGTTTGGTTCCTTTATGAACTAGAAACACCTGTGTTTCTCTGCTGTACATAGGCCCAGAACAAGGTGGCCATCTATCACCGAGCGAGTGAGGGTGACGTGGGCAATGACGCAGAGTGACACTGTCAACAGGACCAGAGCTGCACTAATGAGCATTTGCCATGAGGAAACAATGCACCTACGCCCTAAAGACAGACGTAAACACTGCTGAATCCCAATCTGTTGTGACTCAGCAGATGTCAGTCCATTTCTTTGTGGCAGGCGCCATGTTTGTCATTTTGGCAACTATAAATGGGTAAGAAGGCCTTGCCCCTCAGAACGACAATGACTCCATTGAAGTAGAGTGCAAGAGAAATGCTGTGTGCAAAAAGGGGGTACAACACCCCCCCCCACACACACACTCACTCTCAGAGTCATGAAGCCATGTGCCACCTAATGATGCTTGGGTCCCCAATGGGCCATGTGAGGTTAAGATTTTTATCTCCTAGGGGTGTCATCGTCTCGATTTGTGCTAAGTACACCATCATGTTTGGCACAATGATTCTAATAATGGTTAGCTATGTACTTCTCAAACTATGTCCACCCTTAAGCAGCACATGACTCTACAGACACGTGTATGTTCACACATACACTCACACACGGAGGAAAAAAAATTGTAAATCACAATTTCCAGGGGAAGCAGACAACTTACCTGTGATCTTGACGTGGGCAAACCCAGTCCCACAGTGTTAGTGCTCATGAGAGAGAAATTCATACTCTGGGAAGATGTCATGGTTGCCTGGGATGCCCCCATAAGATCAAACAGGTCTGAAGAGTTTGAGGCAGCAGGAGGTGGGCCTAGTGATGGCTGTGAGCCACTGATGAGTTCTACTGCAGGCTGTGGGGCACTGCCAAAGAGCTCACCACCAGAAACAACAGGGCCTGATGGGGCTTGGTTGAAGGCACTCCAGTCACCAAAGTCTCCATTCCCACTTGTTGCCATTGCTAAGACAGAAAGAAGGTGTGGGTAGGAAGCATTCCGAGTTTCACAGAGCAAGTAGAACAATCTATGAACTGAAACTAATTCAAGCTGATCAGAGTCCGTCCAGATTAGCATCTGCAGGCCCCGTCTCCATCTGGACATCATTCTTTCTCATGAATATTGCAAGAGTGCTAACAAGGTAGCAAAGGAGAAAGTCAGACTCACACATAAAGTAAAACCCAACTCTTGGCAGGTCTATAGGTGATAAGCAGAAATCACCATCAAAACTCTCCAACCAAGTTTGCATCTGTTAAACAAGTACGACCCAGCCGAGGACTCAAAAAAACAAGAAAGCAGCACTAAACTGCTTAGACTTCCTGCTGGGAGCTCCAAATTGTGTGAGAAGATACTCAGTAATATAAGAAAACTTAATGACCACCCATTATTTAGAAGGTTCAAGGAGGGATCCAAATGTAATTTATACCCAAATAATTGCCTAAACCTCATGTTCATGATACAAAGTTTATTAAAAACAAAACAAAACAGAAATCAAGGAGGATAAAAAGGTAAGAAAATGGCTGGGCGTGGTAGTGCACGCCTTTAATCCCAGCACTTGGGAGGCAGAGGCAGGAGGATCTCTGTGAGTTCAAGGCCAGCCTGGTCTACATAGTGAGTTCCAGGACAGCTGGGGCTACAGGGAGACCTGGTCTCAAAAAGACCAAAAAAAAAAAAAAAGTGATTGCAGTGTCCATGCACACACATGTGTGCACTGCATGGCAGCACAATGTTTGGAGTGGAATAAGAAGACTACTGTAAGTCTTAAGAAAGTGACACATGCTTTTGGTAAGGACCGTCACAATGCTTTCAGGAAGATGTTTATATCTCATGTTAACCTTGAAGGATGCGAACACATTGAAGAAAATTATAGAGGAGAAATATTTAGGTGAGACTAATTGAGCTTTAGAAATGCTATAGATGGTAAAGTGTTTGCTGTGCAAGCATAAAGATTTGGGTTTCAATCCCCATGGCCCCTGTAAAAGCCAAGGCCAGTGGCACACACCTGTAATCCTCATTCAAGGCATGCAGAGACAAGAGGATCCCTGGGGCTTGCTCATTAGCAAGTCTAACTGAAAGGCTGATCTTTAGGTTTAGTGAGACCCTGTCTCAAAAAATACAGTAGAGAACAATTAAGGAAGACACTGGATGTCAGCCCCTGGCTTCCAGACACAGCGTGTGGACACACTTGGACACACACATACATACACACATACACACATACAGCAACAGCAATAAATAAAAAAAATTTTTTAAGTTGTATCAGCTGTGCTTGGTGGCATACACCTTAAATCCCAGGACTTGGGAGGCAGAGGCAAGCAGATGTCTGTGAGATAGAGGCCAACCTGGTCTACACAGTGCTTTCCAGGCCAGTTGGGGCTACAGGGAGACCCTATCTCAAACAAACAAACACCAAAAAAAAAAAAAAACAAAAAAAACCAAAAAAACCACCAATGACAACAGGGTCAGAGGATGGACAGGGTAAGGGACTAGGTGGAGCCCTGAGGATGGACAGGGTGAGGATGGACAGGGTCGGGGACTAGATGGAGCCCTGAGGATGGACAGGGTCGGGGACTAGAGACAGAGCCCTGAGGATGGACAGGGTCAGGGACTAGATGGAGCCCCGAGGATGGACAGGGTCGGGGACTAGATGGAGCCCTGAGGATGGACAGGGTCAGGGACTAGGTGGAGCCCTGAGAATGGGCAGGGTCGGGGACTAGGTGGAGCCCTGAGGAGGGACAGGGTCAGGGACTAGGTGGAGCCCTGAGGATGGCAGCCTCTTCTGACCTCCGTGGGCATTGCACGACACGGGTGCACTTACCTACATGCAGGCAATAAATACAAACACATAAAATAAAAATAATAAACAAAAACAAAACAAAAACAAAACTACCTCATGCTAACACTTTTAAAAAGCACTCAAAACACTCCCATTACTATACTTTAAAGTATAATTATGAGGTCAAAACACATTCCATATCAAAGTACTGAGATTTTTTTTTTTGGAGACATGGTCTCCCTGTAGCCCCAGCTGGCCTGGATTTGCTATGAAGTCCAGGCTAGACTCAAACTCACAGAGATCCGCCTGCCTCTGCCATGTGGGTGCTGGGATTCGAACCCAGGTCTTCTGCAAGAACAGTCAGTATTCTTAACTACTGTCCTCTCTCTCCAGCCCCTTATTATTCTTATTGTATGTGTATGTGTGCATTGCCTGCATGTAGGTAAGTGCACCCGTGTCATGCAATGCCCGCGGAGGCCAGAAAATGCTGTCGGATCCCCTGGAACTGGAGTTACGGACAGCTGTTAGCTGCCACGGTGGGTGCGGGGATTCGAACCCGGGTCTTCTGCAAGAACAACCAGTGTTCTTAACCGCTGAGCCATCTCTCCAGCTCCTCAACATAAAATGTAACCCAGGTTACCGTAACAGCGATTAATCTCCTGAACTGAGTAATAACGCCAATCTGGTTCCATGACATGTTTTGTTTCAGCTTCACTTCGTGGTAAGCTTTGTATAGCTTATTTATTTACAATTTTTTTTTTTTTTTTTTTTTTTTGGGGGGGGATCTTTTTGAGACAGGGTCTCCTTGTAGCCCCAGCTGTCCTGAAACTCACAATGTAGACCAGGCTGGCCTTGAACTCACAGAGATCTGCCTGCCTCTGCCTCCAAGGTGCTGGGATTAAAGGTGTGCACCACCATGCCCGGCTTTTTATTTTTATTTTTTTAAGACAGTCTCACTTGTAGCCCCAGGTGTCCTGAAACTCATAATGTAGACCAGGCAGGCTGTTCTTGAACTCATAGAGCTCTGCCTGCCTCTGCCTCCCAGGTGCTGGGATTAAAGGCGTGTGCCACCATGCCCGGCTTTTTATTTTTACTTATTTAAGACAGTCTCATTTGTAGCCCTAGCTGGCCTGAAACTCACTATGTAGATCAGGCTGGCCTCCATCTCACAGAAATCTTCCCACCTCTGCCTCCTTAGTGCTGAGAATCATGCCTGGTTCACTGAAATTTTAAACTATACTCTCTCAAACTTTGGACCACCCAGATTTTATGAAACCAGCATCAGGATCCCTTTACCATCTGCTGGGAAAAGACAAAGCAAGGAGATAGCCTGTACTCTACATATTTACTTCTACAGACACAATTCTGTCCCTGAACAACCAACAGGTAGCATTAGCTCTGTTCTAGAGAGCTGGCAAGTTTCATTCCTGGAAAATCGGGTCAATGTAAATCACAGTGTTTTATCTCTCAAACGACATAATGTGTATTTATATTAGTCCCTGGGAAACTAAACGGTATGACTATGGGAAATTTCCTTCAGTTGAGTTTGAATAGTCTACAACTAACTTAATTTGTCCGGTACACTTAAGACACTGGCCCAATAAAATATATGTGAATAAATTGTTAGGTAATTATGAATCATAAATACCAGAAGGATTGAAAAGAGCAGATTAGCAGAAGCTGCTAATAACAGCTGATAGCTGTTCCATGTCCCTGGTTCTAGACAATCAAATCACCTCCTACCTTGGGAAGGGAAACTGCCCGATGCAGCAGCTGAGCCAAAGTCTGCAAATCCCCCTAAAAAATCAGCTGATCCTCCTAGAAGGTGAGAAATGAGAGAAATGTTTTAAGCTGACTGAGCTAGAGAACAACTGTTAACAATCTCAGGAAGCCTTTTTAGGAACGTACAGTGCCCAGGCCCACCGTTCACCAAGGCTCTCATCACGCCTTGCTGCCTGGAGCCTCTCGGACTTCTGACATCCTTCATTTCTCTACCCAGCGAGACCCATGACATACATCTACAGAAGGCCATTCCTCAGTAAAGCATCATGAGCAGAGTACGGTGAACAGTGCCTGCCAGCGATACTCTATAAGAACCTTGCCTTGGTACTTCAACCCGAGCAAAACACTGCTGGGTAAGACAGACACCATGCCAGTACAGGGCACCAGCCTTGACCTACTGGGCATAAATAAATGGCAGCCTAGTGACAGAAAGTGAGGCAATGAGTACACAGTCTGTTATTATACGGTAATATTACTTTCATGTAAAACTTCTCCATTAAAATTTAATTTAAATTGAATTGAGCCAAACAATATAATGTAAATATTAAAAGCATTTTCAAAATTATAAATTTGAAATTTCTAAGAAATTCTGGGGAATGCCAATTTATTGTTCCTGAACTTCAAAGAGGAATTTATAAGCACTGAGAAATTAACTTTTTTTACTGTACAATTCTGAAATGTAACATTGCTGCTGAATAAATGTATATTGTTTTTAACGAAATAAAAAATTTTCAAATATAGTTACAGGATTATAAAAAGAAAGGTCCTTGTGAGATTTAAGCCAAAGTATTTTAGGGACGGATATCACAATGTTTAAAATTTTCTCTCAAATGGTACAGAGCAAGCTATGTGACAAAGAACTACAAAGAAAATCAGGAAAAGTTTCACTTATTTACTTTATTCAGGTGTATGTCTACATGAATGTGTAACACATGCACTTGAGGACCCAGTGGCCAGGAGAGGGCATTGGGATCCCCTGGGGCTGGAATCACAGGCGGTTGTGAACTGCCTGACATAGGTGCTAGGAACTGAACCTGAGTCCTCTGTAAGAGCAGGACATGATTTTAACCACTCTTGCCATCTCTCCAGCCTCCATGTTTCAAAGTTTTAAAAATAAAATGTTGGAGAAAAAACCCTGAAGTTGATTCATATAAAACTCATTTTAAACAGAGGGAGAAAAATCAATGTACAGACCAGCCTGGGTGCACTTCCCCTTGTTCCTGAATGAAAGATTAAATACTTTTTTTTTTTTTTTTTTTTTTTTTTTTTTTTTTATTTTTTTTTTTTTTTGGTCTTTCTGAGACAGGGTCTCCCAAGCCCCAGCTGTCCTGGAACTCACTATGTAGACCAGGCTGGCCTTGAACTCACAGGGATCCGCCTGCCTCTGCCTCCCGAGTGCTGTGCCTATGAATGTAGTTTTTTCTTTCTTGCTTCTCTCTCATGCACACTCTCGCTCTTGCTCTTGCTCTCACTCATTATAGCCCAGTTGACCTGGAACTCACTCTGTAGACCAACAATGTGTACAATAAATAATATCTTAAGTTTTAGTATTTTATTTTCTTCTAGTCAATTATCAACGAAATAGCTAAAGATCTAAAACCTCAAGTCTGTTGGCCTTATTTTTGTCCTTAAAAGTTTTACCTCTTAAGACTTACAACCCTAGAAGTCTAGAGCAGCAGCTCAATTATAGTGCTTTTAGTGTTATGTGAATATTATATAGGTTACATTACATTACAGCTGCTTAGCCTGCAGTGCTTAAAAACTAGCCAGGTGGGACTGCAACATCTGGGCTGCACTCAAACATCACCAGGGACAGCTTCCAACATCTGGTGCCATTTCAGAATTGTCTTATCACTGCAAGACATTCTGCCCCATCTGCTACACTCAACTGGGTTAATTAAACTAGAACCAATGCCCCTTCTTAGCTGGCCAGCTGTAATAAATGGAGAAATCAGTTTCTGATATGTGTGCATTGCTCTTTTTTTAATGCACATTTTCTCTAGTCAATGATAGGCAGGCATAACAAGTTCTTCATTCCTTCACCATACTCCAGACATACACGTTCACACACACATCCTGACTCTAGCCAGCCGGCCAGCACCAAGCAGAATCCACTCCTACTACTATTGCTCATGTGGCTACTTTAAAATTCATCCAAATGATAGAGATTGTTTTTTTTCCTTCCTCACAGGTATATACATGCTATGTGAGGGGCACAGAGGAACACTAAGTACAATGTGTACTATCAGTAAGAACATAACAATAACAATTAGCAGAGATGAATGCTGCAAATGGTTCTTAATATTCATGTTTGCTTTCTATGATGTGCTTTCTATGACGTCACGTCAAACTGACTGATCAAAGTATACCGTTAACAGATTATCAATTACTACAACAGTGATTTAAAAACAGGAATTATTTTAACTTGCTTTATTCTAGCAGTGAATAAACACCAGTAATTTTTTATGTAAAGCAAGTACAGCTCTGCAAATATTAACTTGAAGCTACAAAGAAAATTCATGTTGCAGATAAAAGCACCGAATAACAGATTTTAAAAAATGCTCCCTGAATTCAGTATTTCAGACATGTACCTTACTTGCTCTGTTGTTCCCTTTCTTCTCCCTAACTAAATCAGAAGCGTTCCTAGTTTCTCCGCAGCAAGCATTCTTCCAGGTTTTACATGCAATGTGGCTGCAGCAGGCATGGAAACACGCACAGCTATACACCTTCTTTGGATGGATGTGAATTCTTCTGAGGCACTGTTTCAGATTACATAACTCTATTTCATTGAGTTCAAGTTTCTCCTAGGAGGGACAATCCATACAACATGTCTGATAACCGCGGTGATGCTTTAAATTTAGCAGAAACTTCCTATGCTGAAGCATTTCCCCAGATCATTTCTAAAGAAATGTAAATAAAAGAGCCTATCAAAAAGTGCTGCACGTGGAAGGCTGCTCATTTTCACAGGAGCTATTGTTCCAGATTCCCACATGAGAGCTGTCATTATAAATGAACCACATCCATCTGCCTTTTCAGGGCAGCAAGGAGGTTATTTACATCCACCAGCTGGGAACATGGATTTTCCAAAGCAATACTAAACAAGAAAAATACAGCCAGACAGTGCTTAAAACACAAATGTAAATGTTAATGAAGACTCTAATGTAGTACATTAAAGAAAATGAAGAGTTCTGATATATAAGGCAACTATGACAAAAACTATCCATAATTTATAAAAACTTTAGAATAATCAGTATGAATGTAACCTCCACTAGAAAAAAAAAAAAGATTCAGAACAGGCAAAGCTACAACTGTTTGATAAAATACATTCAGACCCTGCATCCAAGCAATGCAAAACAAAATGAAATCCAATATTTTCCTTATCAAATGAAGTCTGAAAAGGTGTTAACGTGCTGCTTTGTTAAGAACAAAGAAAAAACCCAAACCAACCTAATGTCTAGGAGATAAGAGACCATTTGGTTATATCAACTACATACAATGTGATGTCACAAAGTATTAGCGAGCTCTGTGAAAGAGCATACTGCCACAGGAAATGGCCGGATGGTCCTGGTGAAAAGCTACTTACAGAAGAAAAAAATCTAAACACTTCAGTACATTTTTCTGAATATAAACAAAAAATATATATTAAGGGCCAGGCATGGTGCACATCTGTAATCCCATCAGTGGGAAGGCTGAGGTGCAAAGTTCAGAAATTGTGAGGTCAGCGTGGGTTGTACACCAAAACTTTACTTAAAACAAACAACAAAAAATACTCATCAAAATTATTATTAGCTTTATATATTTATTTATTTTTATTTTTTGGTATTTTTGAGACAGGGTCCTAGCTGGCCCGGAACTCGCTATGTAGGCCAGGCTCCCCTCAAACTCACAGAGATCCTCCTGCCTCTGCCTCCCTAAAGGCATGTACCACCACATCTGGCTTGGCTTTATATATTTAAATGAGGGCAAATTACTTGTTTTCTACATTTCAAAAGTGAGCATGTAATACTTTTAGTAGTCAGAGAAAATTTTACTAAAAAAATTAATTTTTAGTAAGTGGCTTAGAGCAAGAGATAACCTCTATGCAAATGCTACGTAAGCTGGCATATTGAGGTTGCACTCCAGTGCTTCTGATTCATGTAAAATGCAGTTACTCAGAGCAGAGCAACAGGTTCAAATGTTTATGAAAAATTTGGATTTGACACATTTCAGTGCTTAAAAAAATGCTGTGAACTTGGAATAAACTCTAAGTCTATTACAAACTCTTTCTAACTGTACATTTCCTCTCCAATCCCACTTACTGCACAATATACCTGACAGTATGTTAAGACCTAAATTCCTTTATTACAAAGGGACGAAGCTCAAAAGGCAGATTTATAGTGTAAGAGAACGTGGTGCTTTTCAGCATCTCATTTCTAATTGACTTATTTTCTAATTCTGAGTCCTTCGTTGGGGGGTGTTTTAGTTCCTGTTGTAGTTTGTTTTGAGACAGGGTCTTCCTGGAGCGCCAGCTGGCCCGGAACTTGCTATGTAGACCATGCTGGGCTGGATCTCACACAGATCCACTTGCCTCTGTTGGGATTAAAGGTGTGAGTCACTATGCCTGGCTAATTTTAATTCCTACTTTCTATCACTGACCTATTGAAATGCTTTGTTAGAAATGTACTATATGCAAGAGACACTATAACATCACTCCAGTATGGATTTAAAGGATGATCACTACAATGGGACAGTATCAAAATAGTCTCAAGAACATGTTGATGAATGGTTAGGTTTCACACATGCAGTTTTAAATTTGGTCAGATATTCTACAGTGATTTTAATGGATATACTTTTTGAAAATGCTAGAACTAAGGGTGTTATTTCACATACAAAAAAAGAAAAACAAAAAAAGGGAGGGAGGGAGGGAGCACAGACAATGTGCACACTCTCCATGGAATCTTGTCTGCTGTGTGAGCGGCACAGGGGCCCTATCTACTCAGCTGTACTTTGTGGCCCTCGCTGGCACAGCAGCTCTATTATAAACACCTCTGGGTGTTGACAAACAGCAAAGTTAATGTGGTTGATTCTTACACCTCCTCATGTGCAAGTGTTAAAGATTTAAGTCTAACTTTCTGCCATAACAGAACTTAATTTAAAATAGATTACTACAATACTGTAGGGAGATCTGTAAAACTAGTTAAACATCCTATTTCAAAGAGAAAATAATTTAAAAAATAATTGATGTCAAACCAAGTTCAGTTACTTTTGAGAGAGATTATTAAGATAAACTAAGGGCAAGAAACCTTCCAGATTTCATTTAAACTTTGTCTCAGTTACTGTATTAATACTAATTGCTATTTGTATATAATTAGTCAGTTTACTGTTTACATTAGAGAAGAAAAACCACTCAAAAGTTTCTTGCCAAGCGAGAGAAACATGCTGGTGTTTAATAATTCTCTCTGTTCAAAGAAATCTTGGTATCACAGAGGAAGAAAGTTACATCAACTCATCTAACCTTCCTAGTTAATTCTTCTCTGATTGCTCAATATTTCATGCAAAGAAGTCCACAGTAATTGATATTCTGTGACACTATGTCTGTATCAGATGGCAGTATGCTAACTACTAGTTAAAGTTACAGTTCAAATCCTAAATGTAAAAGACAGCACATCAATTGTTAAACACTAATCTAGCTGTTCTAACTCTGAGCATTACAGTCTGTCAATTTATAAAATAATTTTAGGAATAGTTATAGAAAAAGGGGGAAAGGAATTAAAGGATTTCACGAACTAGGTCAAACCGGACATCTTGTTATGTTTATTCCTAAGCCAGTAATTTTATGACAGCAAGCAAGAAGGAAAATAATTGGTGGCTTTATATTATAAATTACATGTCCTAATCTATCAATGAGAAGTAATTCACAACATGGATTTAACACTTACATGCTAAAACAAAAGTTTGAAAACAATTCAGCTTTTAAGATTTATTACACACAACTCAGAATAGCACCTTTATTTCACACATTAGTTATGCCATAATCCTGCTTAGAAAAATTTTTAAAAGCTCTATTTCTTGAGTGGATTTTACTTGAACTACAGTAGTATTAAAATTCTATAGTCATCAAATATAATCCTAAGGTATCAACTTACTTGGAAACAATTTATTACGAGTTACTAAAAATCTAGCACACATTTGTTTTGACTTCCAATCTTCAACCTCAGTGATGAGAAAGTCTTGGTAAAATGGTTTATTTGATCTTTTCCTCTCCTTCCCCCTCCTCTCTCTGAAACTCCTGAGGCTTGTCAAGTGGTCCTCCCGAGTTGGCTTCCTAGGTACTGTGATTACAGGCCTGTGCCATTCCCCCAGCTCACAGCAATCTTCTAATATGCTTGGTGGGTAATACCCCTTTCCCCTATAGCATTTGCTATGTTCACAACTAGATACTTATTTCTAGTTGTGATCATTTGACTAATGATTACCTCTCTCATTTGATCTTTCCAAGGGCTTAAGAATTCTAGACCAGTGTCCACATCAACGTTTGCTGGCAAATGATGGAGAAGGGAGTGAATCTGAGGCTATCTGTTTTGACAACAAGAATGAAAGCTTGAGGGAGAGTCACTAAAATATGGAGAGTAACACATCTTGTCGTAAAAAGAAATAAACTGTAATTATAAATTATAATATAGCTTTTCTCATCTCCAAGTTAGTCTCAGATGAGATTAAAAATGGCAGGGCACAGTGGTGCATGTCTTTCACTTCAGCACTCAGGAGGCAGAGGGAGGAGGACCTCTGTGAGACTGAGGCCAGCCTGGTCTACATAGCGAGTTCCAGAGTTCCAGGACAGTTGGAGCTACAGGGGAGACCCTGGAGAGAGAGAGAGAGAGAGAGAGACAGAGAGAGAGAGAGAGAGAGAGAGACAGAGAGAGAGACAGAGACAGAGATGGGAGAGAGGGAGAGAGGGAGAGAGGGAGAGGGAGAGGGAGAGGGAGAGGGAGAGAGAGAGATTAAAAATGAAAGCTACAAAGCCTCCAAAATCTTTTGGACTGTGTAAAATTTTCGTAGATACATCATCCTGAAATACCTTTTGTTAGTAATTTAGAGAGGCAGCAGTAAGGAGTCAGTGACATTACTACTCGCCAATATCTACAACTATCACAAAGAGGCTTTTCTGGCCCTCTCTATATGATGCTGCAGTCTGACCTCATGTCAGTCCTTCTCCAAGGCCCTTCTTTCAGTAAAGACTTTGAAGGCAGGGACCCCGTACAGAGTGAGGTAGAAACTTCTGGAGAGATTCTGCATGTCAGCAAAGTTCCTATCACTCTTGCTAGCATTTACTGTATTTGTCAGTATTGCCCAGAGACTTTGGAACTTTTTTATTTTTTTTTTTAATTAAAATCATCCTAATCAGTATTTGTTAAAACAAAACAAAACAAAAAACCCAAGAGGGTAACTTCACAGCATTATAAAGGCAATAATCTACCAAAGAAAATTAAGATTTCTTGAAAAAGTTACCAAATTATCACTTTCTCCATGTAAAAGCTATTACATAATTCTCCCCAAATAACATTCAATGCTCCCTTATTTCACATTAATAATAAATCCGGAAAGTAAGTACTTTTGCAGGACTGGAGATTGGGTCTAGAGCCTCCCAAATGCTAGGGAGGTGCTCTTCCACTGAGCTATATCCCCAGTCCTTTTTTACATTTTATTTTGAGACATGGTCTTGCTAAATTGCTCTAAACCTGTGATCCTCCTGCCTTAGCCTCCAGAGTATCAGGAATTACAGGCCTACCCAGGCCTGGCTGGTAATTATATTTTCATTCCAACTTTGACATAGCATTTTTTTTTTTCGGTCTTTTTGACATAGGGTCTCCCTGTAGCCCCAGCTGTCCTGGAACTCACTATGTAGACCAAGCTGGCCTTGAACTCACAGAGATCTGCCTGCCTCTGCCTCCCAAGTGCTGGGATTAAAGGCGTGTGCCACCACACCCAGCGACATAGCATTTTTTAAATGACCAAAAACACAGATGCTGGAAAGGGAAGCTGATGTGAAGCCTACCTGCTGCCTGGCTGCTGCCATCAAACAGGTCCACAAGGTCACCCGATGACTTGCTGCTAGGCACTGAAGTCTGAAAACAGCAGAAACAGTAAGCTTAGAAAACAAACCCCTATCTTTAATTCCCAATTTTAATGTAAATTATGGTAATTATCAAAATGAGGCTAGATTAAGTTTTCTTTTAAAAAAAAAGAAGAAAAAAAAAAAAAAAAGGAGTACTAGTCTATAATTCTACATAACAAGAAATGCAGAAGTCCTAACAGCTAAAGTTGCATCCACCCCATGGTTTTATTTTTGTTTTCCAGACAGCCTTTAAAAAAAGATCTCAACCACTGAGCAACCTCTCCAGCCCCCAAGACAGGGTCTTGCTATGTAGCCCAGGCTGACCTTGAACTCTCAATCTTCCTGCTTCAGCTTTCCAAGTGCTGGGATTCCAGGCATCCATGGTCACACCAAGCTCTGTTCTCTAACATCTGCACTTTCCACTAACTTACTTCTTTTTATGTTGCATTTCAATCTGGAAAACACATCTTCCAGATCATATTCAGTTCTTAATCCATGCTATGAGAATCAATTATATATGTGCGCGCACATGCGTGTGCGTGTGTGTTTATTTTTGTTTGTTTTATTAAAATCACAGAATCCTGTCTAGAGTAAGATTCTGGCCTCCAGTCTTATAAGGTTCCTCTGTGTAATTTCAAGGATTCGTACCCATTATAGACCAAATTCCTATCTTGCTCTAGAACTCTATGAACTACATCAAACAACTGATACAAAAAAATCAGTATAGTGCTGGATGTGGTGGTGCACACCTTTAATCCCTGCACTCAGGGGGCAGAGGCAGGTGGAGCTCCGTGAATTCCAGGCCAGCCACAGCTACATATCAAGACCCTGTCTCAAAACAAACACCTAACCAACCACCCCCCAAAAAACCAAATAAATAAATGACATAAAATAAATTAGTATGATTCTATGTGGTCTGATAAACTGATGTTTCATATTCAATTCCCAAAGTAAATGATGGCGCTTGGGTTTCTACTATTTTTGTCTTCTCCATGGTATCCATAAGCACTACGATACCTATGCCCTCTATACTCAACGCATACACATTAAATTAGAACTGAAGTTTTAGATACTGGGGGGGAAACATAAGGTAACTGGTACTTTGAAAATGAAAATATTATAGTGTAATTCAAAAAGGCCTTTCAGTTGTAAGAGATCTGGAACAGTTGTGTAACTTTTCAAAAACTTCAGCTTTCTATATATTTTCTAAAAATAGTAATAAAGCAAAAACAAAAATCTTAGCACTAGAGAAGCAGAGACAGGAGGATCACAAGTTCAAGGCCAGCCTGGGCTCCAAAGGAGACTCTGGCTCAAAAGATCCACAGCTTTTACTAAAACCTAAAATACTTAAGGCAAAGTGACATATTCAAGTCATACTACGAACTAATATTTAAAATGCTTTAACATGTGAGATATGGACTGTAGTCCAGTGGCAGAGTGCTAACATAGCATACACAAGGCCCTGCTTCATCCCTAATACTTCTCCATATGACAAGTGACAAAGGTCAATTTACTGTTAATAACTACTGAAGTTTGGGTGATTTTCCTCATAAAACCTAAGGTGAGTTCTCTAAGACAGTCATATATTAGGGTTTCTATTGTTATGGTTATCAAATTCTATATAGCAATCACTGACCTACAGAAAGGGTCTTCTACGACTACAAGGACATAATACAGCCAGCATCTCTCTTTGACCATAACTAAAGTTTTAATTTTGAGGATTTTTGTCAAAACTGGGGAAAAAGTAAACCCTAAGAATAAAAAACAGTAAGAATGAGTATCACACACCAGTTCAGAAGGCGTGGCAAAAACTGACAAAGTATTAAATATGCCTGGCTTTCTTTTCAAAGTCATTTATAATTTCTGGGATACAGAGAAAAATGTTTCTCCCAGCTTTTAGCTACTTTTGTTGCAATGATATAAGTAGTATCAGCTGGAAAAGATAAAAGAAAAAAAATAAATAAAAAGACAAAATTTTAATCTTCCAGGGCAGATTCTTTTCTGGCAGATTTTCTGTCTAAAAGACTGGCTTGTGGCCAATTATCTCTAGGTAGATTTCATTCTAGTGGCAGGAGGCCAGAGGGATACTTGTCATTTAGGTACACCCATTACCGACCACAGTAAAGACGGGGCAAATGGCCCCTCCTTTATAGCTGCCACCTCCACGTTAGATGAAACCTTCCTCCCACAGGGCTACCTCTTCAGCTCCCCTTTCCTTTTTTATTAAACATGAGCATAGAGCTTCCTAGTTGCCAGACAGGTTTTTGGTTTGGTTTTTTTTTTTTTTGGCTTTTTTGAGGCAGAGTGTCCCTGTAGCCCCAGCTGACCTGGAATTCACTATGTAGACCAGGCTGGCCTTGAACTCACAGAGATCCACTTGTGTCTGCCTCCCAAGTGCTCAAAGGCATGCGCCACCACGTCCCCCGTTTTTTAAAAAAAGATCTTTGTATTTTTGTGAGAGAGAGAGAGAGAGAGAGAGAGAGCGCATATGCGCATGCACTAAGAGGGCATGGATCTCCAAGAGCTGGAGTCACAGGAGGCCGTGAACCTCCTGACATGGGCACTGTGAACTGAACCTGGGTTCTCTGCAAGAGCACAAGAGCTCTTAACCACTGAGGCATCTCTCTAGCTCTTCTTCTCTTTTTTGCTGTCTTCTCTGGCCCGTCCCCACTTTATAGTTTGAATGATGGAACCCAGGGCCTCACAAATGCTAGGCAAGCATTCTACCACCAAGTTACAGTGCCAGTCTCCTGCTCTTTTACCGTTTCTTAAAACTTTCAAATACTCCTGTTTTCACTAGTGAATGAGCCATGGCTTGGTAGCCCTGGTGGTATTAGATGGGAGCTGATGTACTACAGTGGAACTCACAACCTTCCCCACATTCAACAACAGTGTCCTTCCCACTTTTCACAGAAGGTAGATAGACAATCATTCAGCACTTGGACCAGTTTCTTACCCCAAAGAGATCTCTTGTTATTAATGACTGAGTAATACATGCCAGATGATCTATAATTAATATGACCGATGCCCAACATTTCTAATGTGGGAATTCTGAAAGCAGTTTAAGAGAATAAAACAAAATCGTGTTGTGCAGACCGCTGCTGCTTGCACCTTGGCTGAAGACTGAGGTGTGTGGGTTGAAGCATTCTGATCTGGGCTGGCTTTGTCCCCCGTGTAATGTGCCGCTGCTCCAAGATCAATGGTTTTAGAAGGGTTTGCTGTGCGCTTGTGTCGGGTTGTGGTGGTCTCTGTGGCCTGTGTGATGTGGATGTGCTTTGTCGTCACAGTTTCCTCTTCATCTTTGAATTCACCTCTGGGAGATCCACCTCGCCTCGCTTTCTTTTCCTCATCGCTGTCACTAAAAGATATTAAAAATGAAGCAAAATAATAAGACTTTGGAATATTTTAAGAAGGAGTCCTCAGTGGTTTGAGTGAAAGAATTTCAGATGCATTAACTCCAAATCCCACACTTTGACTATCTGACAGGGAGCAACACGAAGTTATTTAGGCTGCCGAATAATGATATGTATGCACTGGGGAGGGAAGAGGGATGTGCAGAATTCCCTTGTTGGTCTGAAACAGGGGAGCTCCAGAAAAGGATTTACATAAACGTGCACCAGCAAAAGATGCCTAAAATACCTCAATGTTTATTACAGATTTAAAACTTAATTCAGAGGTAAAATAGTAGCATTAAATGAGAATTGGCTATGATTCTAGTGCATCAAGCACCATGAAACCATTTTCTCTATTGGATTGTGTGAAAACGTCACAATTCAATTGTCACTCATTAATAAAATTATTGATTTTTCAAAAAAGGCATGGTCTTGTATAGCCCTACCTGGTCTCAAACTCACTATATGGCCAAAGATGATCTTGAACTCCTGAATCTCCTGCTTCCACCTCCCAAGTGCTGGGGTTACATACATGATGCCACTCCCAGCTCCCTGAATTCTATTTCTAGAACAATTTTGTCAGTGAGTCTCAGGTACTAATGCAAGTTACATAATACAAATATTACAACAGGTTGGGCATGGTGACACATCTCTTTATTCTCACCATTTGGGAGGTGGAGGAAGGAAGGTCAGGAGCTTAGGGTCATCCTTGCCTACACGAAAAGTCTGAGGTCAGTTTGGGCTACATGAAACTCTGTCTCAGAGGGAAAAACATAACTAAACAAATACCCCTCCCCCGAAACATAACAATTTCATTGAACAGCTTAAAAATACTATAGCATTTAAACACAAATGAGTAAAGTCTCTTTTGAAAATGCAGAAGAACACCAGGGAATATACTATACACCTCTGTTATCAGATCAGACATTTACATAACTGAAAATTGTGCTTCACAGAAACTTAACTACGTTCAAAATGTTTCTGAAACAAGCAATTTCTTTTTAGTCACATTCAAAACTTAAAACGGTGCAAATCAACCAACTAAGAGACCAAAAACCTCACAAAAAGAACCAATCTAGAGAGCTAAAAACTGGGGTTTTCATATGCTAGGAATGAAAACATTAGCACTAGTCTGTTCTCTAGTAAGAAGTCACTGAGTTTTTGCCTGGGCATAAGCAGAAGGGATGGAGGGAAGGACAGAAAGGGAAGGAGAAAGGGAGAAAGAAAGAGAAATGAAGAACAGAAATACGCCCCATTACCTGTATTACTGAATTTCAGAGTAGGTGGTTTAATTTATAAATATCCTGGAGCAAAATACTTCAATTTTTTCCTTTAAACTATGACTATTACTGATATAATTTCACTTAAACTAATCTAAAGCAATTTTGACTTAAATACAAACCAATTTGAGACTTGTATAAATCAAGGATTAAAAAGAATGGGCCTGTAAGATGGCTCAGCCGGTAGAGGGCTTGCCATGTAAGCCCAACAACCTGAGTTTAATTCCCGGATTGCATATCAAATTGTCCTCTGACCTCTATATATGCTCCATGGCACATGGGCACCCATACACACTCAATAATAGTTACTTCTCATATAAAGCAAAGGGGTTAAATATATGTACTTTCTTAAAATGCAAGAAACGTGTAAGATCTGATAAGAAATAACTCAAACAACAAATGACCTAAATAGTCATGTCATCAACCTTATAAATAAAATTGCTGTTTCTTATCTGTTTGATGTCAAATTTTATTGCAATGCAAGATAATACTTTGTACGTTCAAGAATTCTTGATTCTAATAATGAATTAACAGATCTAATCCTCATCACATGTGACTTTGTCTAAAAACATACTGTTTTCTCACAAAGATTCCAAAATTAAAAGTTCCTAACATGCCTTATCACTAGCTGAAGTTAGTGATACAGTCACTATTAAACAGGAATACTCTCCATCAGTGATGTAGAAGCCTTTACAGATCCCTCTGAGAGGAGATGAAGGAAAAACAAACAGCAGCACCACCAGGGAAAACCAGAAGACCCACACAAAGAGGGACCAAGTAAGAAAAGAAAGCCCAAGGACAGGAGGGCAGAGGAAAGAAAGTAACTGGAAGATAAACACAGTTACATGACTACAAGCCTGACCCACACCTCAGGAAACAGCAACAAATATACAGCTGCTGTTTTCCAATCAAGCCACAAACGTCCCTACACAGGCCACAAGAACATTAGTAAGGAAAAAAATCAGTGTATTTAAGTCAGCACGATTTCCTGAAGTCCAGTGCTTATAATTAACACATACAGGCTCTTTCAATATAAAGGAGCTAAAAAGCAGTTGTAAAAGAGATTCATTCGAATTACTGAAATAAATTCTGTTCCTTCAAAGATCACATTTTTGCAAGTCTTTAAAGGAGGCATCCTAGAGATTTAATGACTCTGGATTATATTGAAGAGAACATTTCAGAACTTATTTCAAAATCAGATTATGGTTTTATTGAACTTCAATGACCTATAAATCTGAACTACTACCAACCTATGGGTAGGAAAGAGATACTATTTAGCTAAAAGAACTCACTTCACATAGGCCCACATAGTCCATTGGAATGGTTTCAGGTTTTATTTACTGTTTGAGGTAAAACTAGGTATATAATTGCCCTACCAAAGAGAATGACGTTTATGAAAATACAGGTCTGTATTACAACTTTTGGTTTGAACTCTGCTTGGATTCTTCTAGTAACGCAATGCCACAGGAAGGGAAGTTCCACACTCTATCCTTTTCTAAAGCTTATTGTCTAGGCTTCATTTTTCCACCAGCATTATCTTAGATTCCTGGACCACTCAAATGCAAAATAATGTACAATTTTTACTGGGGGAAAAAATTCCAGGGGAGACTAAGAAGCTCGAAATGAAGCACAGAGGACAGACGGGGAGGCCAGGGGTAAGCGGCACCAACAGTGGGACACAGCTCTGCTACCAACAGCACTTGCGTCTGATCTGGTCATGAAAACAGCTGCCAGTGCTGCTTCCGTAGCACAAAGAGTGAACCTGGGAGGACGGTATTACATGGCTCCTGCAAGGATGACCAGCCAATTCATGAATGGTTCCACGTTGTTGCATAGGACATTTTAGGGGTGACATTCTATGTAACTCTTTATTGGTGAATATTATATACCTGGAATCAAAGATAATGCTGGTGGAAAAATGAACTATTTAATATGGTAACCCCCGACATCATATTTTAATTAAGTATACCAATATTGGCTTGTCAGCTGTTAACAAATGCACTGAACTAGCGCAGCATCTTAACATGAGACGCTCTGGGGGAGCAGGGGGAAGTAGCAGCCTTCTGTACTTTATGTAGCTTTTCTGTGACCCTGATTCTTCTATGGAAATCTCTTTTAAAAGACTTCAACCCTGGGTGTGATGGCACATGCCTTTAGTCCCAGCACTCAGGAGGCAAAGGCAGGTGGATCACTGTGAGTTCAAAGCCAGCCTGGTCTACATAGTGAGTTCAGGTCTGCTGGGACTACAGGGAGACCCTGTCTCAAAAAGACAAAAACAAAAACAAAAACAATCTCAGATAATATGAATAACTCCCAAATTAAAACAAAACACCCAGCAGCATACATTTTGCATGCTTTGGAAGGGACTCAAAGACAAAATGTTCATTCACACCTGCACCTTTCTGGAGAGTCTTCTCTATCTTTCCTCCGGAACTTGCTGATGGTGTCATCAATTGTGCTTCCGATTTTATCACTTAGTTCACCTAATTTATCGCTGAATGGAAAAGCACTCTTGTTTTTATCCCACTCCTCATCCCATTTTGATCTGGGCTCAGGGTCGTATCTTTCACCTGTATAATACATTTTAAAAATAAACAACTTTAAGGATGTTAAATTCAACATAGTCCTTATTTTTGATGCTACTTCTCATAATAAAATTGTTTTTAAAGGAAAACAGAAAGCTCCACAGTGCTGCATCAACTGAGTCACAGCACAGTGCAGCATGCATACCCAGCACTAAGGGAATCATCAGGAATACAGATTCAAAAGTTTTCCTCCATGAATACTTCCCAACCCTAATGGACAATATTCAAGACTTTTAAAAATACTGTTGTAGCCAGGAGTGGTGGCGCACACCTTTAATCCCAGCACTCAGGAGGCAGAGGCAGGCGGATCTCTGTGAGTTCGAGGCCAGCCTGGTCTACATAGTGAGTTCCAGGTCAGCTGGGGCTACAGGGAGACCCTGTCTCAAAAAGACCACAAAAA